ATAGTACCGTTCGACCGTTCTGGAGATATCTTCTAACTACCATACATCTTTAGCATTTATAATCATCATCATCAACCTGCTCTTATCCCTATTGAGGGTCGGCACAGTATGTACTCCTCCATACATCTATCAGCCGTCATATCCGAGTCTACCCCCTTCTTACGCATATCCTCTTTTACACAGTCATTCCATACTTTTTTGGTCTTCCCCTACCCTTGTAGCCATCCACATTCAATCTCATTACTTTTTTGCTTATATCATCATCATCCCTCCTCATAACATGTCCAAACCACGCTAATCTTTTACTCCTCAATTTCTCGATCACTGGCGCGGCGCTACTTTCAAACTTCCTCTAATATACACATTTTTAACTTTATCCTTCCTTGTCACACCACACATACATCTTAGCATACGCATTTCAGCTACATGCAATCTTCTTTCATCAGAAACCTTGGTGGCCCAACATCTTTGGCATTTATAACATTAGTAAGATTAATGAAACATATTAGTTTTGAACAATAGTTTAATTTCTTTGTACGTAAGTCGAAAAGAAATACGGCGATATTATAGTCTGTAGTTCTGTAGATTTTGAATGAAATCCTACATCTTACTAATATTATAAATGCGAATGTTTGGATGGATGTTTATTTGAATGTATCTCCATAACGGCTGTATGGATCTCGATGAAAATTGGCATAAATGTAGAGCATAGTCTGAAAGAAAACATTGGCTACTAATTAAGTATTTTTTTCAAAACCGCGCGGACGTTATCTCAGGCTACAGCTAGTATAATATATATTCTTAAATAAATGCTAAAATAATTAATCGTTAATAAGTTAAATTAGCATCGTAATAAAACGACATCGGAAAATATAACGATCGTTTTGTTTATAAATTATCAAATCGTATGTTTTAGTTTTTTCCAACGTCGTTTCGGTGAAGTTTCCAAAATATTACGTTGGAATTTTTAACAAACAATCACTAAAAAAGTTCTATACATTATTTGATTAAGACGGGATAATAGAAAATCTATGTGTATTTTAAAGCCAAATACTTTAAAAAAAAATTCTCAGATTTATATTAATAAAGAAAAAACTGATTTAAAAGATGCATTTATTATCCATTTTTTTATTTCACGAAATACATTCAGTTTACGTAAAATAAAGTAGGTTTTTACTGTCGTATTGTCTAAAATCAAAAATTATATTAAGTTTTTGTGAAAATTCACATGGATGTTTGTTAGAAGATATCTCCAGAACGGCTGAATGGATCTCGCTAAAATGTAGCATACATATAGAAGATAGTTT